TCCAAGGTGAAGACAATGCTGGATAATACCTCCAGACCACTCCATGATGTGCTGGCCAGTCACAGGAGCGCGCTCAGCGAGACACTGAGATTACCCATAATGCACCACTGAACGACACAAGAAATCGTTCCTGAGTGTGGATATCTCTCTGTGCAGCGCCTCCACCTAAAACAATTGTTGCTCACCCTTAATATCTGCACAAAGAAAGATAACAAATATAATAATATGGGCAGCTCAGTGTCAACCATGTATTTAATTTTGCATAATCATACTGGGATATTTATAATTGGAGCTATTTATTGTATTTTGTAACTTTGTAATGTGGTGTACTTTTTAATTTAGTTTAGTTGTTACTGTTACAAATGTACTCAAATTAAAACTAATGTTGGTAAATATGTGGATGTGTGTAAATCCAAATATACTGTACATTTGATCAATATATACATGAAGTCTGAGTGTGTGTGTGTGTGGGGGGGGGGTTGCAGGACGGGGTGGAAACGACACACTGGAGTCACTAATCTGATGTCTGACTTTCTTGTATTAAATTATATATTTTGTAAAACAAATAAAAATAAATGAAAGGTGATTGACAAACACAGTTTGAGTTTTACATTTGAATCAAAAAGCAATTATGTTACAATAAATGTTTATCGTAAAATGTGCTGAAGATAATTAAATAAACTGAATAAAACATGAAGTGAATTATATTTAAATGTGATGTCAATTCTTCATGTTAAGAATAACAAGGCAAATGTAATAAAGTTATTTTAAAGTTTAAAAGAACAAACTTTGTGTTAAATCTTGTAAGCCAGGGAGATGGAGAGAGATATAGGAGGTGTCATTGGATGATTAGATGTCAACAACTTGATTGGATGACCAGAATATGAAGATGTGACGTCGAGTAGGAGAGGTGGGAGAAAGGGTGAGCAGATATAAAAGGTATGACAGAGATTCAGGGTTCTTCCCTTTTGTCTTCTGGGAGATGAGCAGTTCAGAAGATCTAAAAGGTTCACACATGAAAATTCCAGCAGGGATGCGAGAGGGATCGACCAAGTTAGATGGTTAATTCAGAAGGATTTTGATTTACGTCATACTTCCACTGAATGCCCAGGGGATGCTGCTTTCCTGTTGGCTGATTATCATCAACTCAGAACAAGGGGATAAACCTCTCTCTGCCAAAATAAGAACAAAATCAGATTGGCTCAGAGCAGGTTAGTTAGGTACAGCTGAAGTGATTTGATTTTTGGTTTAGGATTCCTACTAATTCATTGTGCTTTTGCTTTGCTCGTGCTAAATTGCTTGAATAAAATTCTAAATTGTGGACATTTACTTTTAACCTTTTATGGAGCAGTAAAAGTCTGAGGATTATTCTTTATTACTGCAAATAGCTCTTACAGGTTTTCCCCTGGTGGCTGCAGTTCAGGTGGTCGAGCCTACCAGTCGGTTGGTGGGTCGATCCTTGTCTTCTCCAGTCTGCCAAATATCTTTGGCCAAGATACTAACCCCACGTTGTCTGAATGTCTGTGGGATGGAAGCACTTACTTAGAAAGAGCATAGAATAAAATGCTGGTGTGAACGTTGTGTAAAACACTACGGGTGCTCAGAGTAGAAGAGCACTGTATAAAAACCCGTCCATTACCTAGTGGCACTAAATGAATCTTTCCTTGGAGCCTGCCGTCCAGGCTGCTAAAATCATTCCAGTGTCTGTGGTAGGGGGAACTACCTTTAACAGGTGAGACTGGTGAATTGTAGGACTACTAATGAGGACTGGGTGAGACTCAGATAAAAGGAAAACGTGTTAATGAACCACATTTTTCAGCTTTTGATATTTTTTCCTTTTGTCTATTTGAAATTAGCGTGATCATTAAAATTAAACACCAGCTGTTTAAAAAATGCAAACCCAAACCTTGTTTAACTTTACATTATACATCCAGCAATTTTTACATTAGTGCTGCATGTAAAGTGCTAATTTACCCCAAAAAGTTTTGTCTAAACAATGTTTCAAATTGACATGTAGATTTATTTTTTTCTGTGCTTATAAAATGTTGTCAACGATGCATCTCTAGGCTGTAGGCTTAGTTATGCATGCAGTCTATTTTGAGGACATAGTGCTTTGAAATGAAGCACTGACTAATCTTCACACATCCTGAAGACTGCCTGATAGGCGTGCCTCTCTCTTTGGCTTCTTTGTGGTGAGATATGTGAGGGGAGAGAGAAACGGGGAAAAGAACAGGAATGAAAGACTGAAGGGAGAAGGAAGGCGAGCGGTGCCAGGACCCGTGGTCATCCTACAGGGGGTACGAGGCTGCCAGAGGCCTTGTAATCTCCCCTTACCCTGCCCTCCATCCCATCTCTCTCATCCTTTCCACTTCACCATGACAAACAGGATCGGCTCTCTATGAAAAAGCCAAAGGCTACCTCTTGTCTTTCTTTCCCCTTTCTTACCCAGCCGTCCTCATCCCATTTGTCATTTACCCTGCCTCACTCTTGGTTAACTCACAGGCACTGGCTGTTGCTGCCCGGCTGTTGCTGCCCGGCTTGGCTGCCGAGCTCCCAGGCCTGGCAAGAACGCTCCACCAGTTCCCCCAGTGTCAGCATTTAGAAACCCTCTTAATGGGTTTAGGCACATTTGCTAATTTGTCAACAAGTTTTGGATGTGGAAGCTTCTGCCAAGCTGCTCGGTCTGGCACTTGACTGAAATGGATGTCTGCTGGCCAACCGTTTGTGTAGGCATGGGCAAAATCAAATTCAAAGGACTTTCAATACTTGACAGTGAGTGGCTTGTAAACAAATTATTTTTTATCATTCTGCATATTTATAGAGATGAATTCAGATGTTATTCAGATAATACTTTAATGCTCGAATGATAATGAATTAAATTGAAATTTGGTGTAAGAAAAGGCACATTTCCTGAAAGCATGTTTGTGGTTCCTCAAATCAATTTGGTCATCACATAAAGTCGTTCCATGACATCTGTTGTGCTGTATCACTGGCCATTTGATTTATTTACAGTGTTTTTATCAGAAATCTAATCAGCCAATGACATGGCAGTGGGAAAAAGGGTGATTTAAGGCAGCGGTCCCCAACCCTTTTTTATCATGGACCAGTTTCACGTTGGACAAACTGTCTGTGTGTGTGTTTGGGTGATGTAATGCAAATATAATGAATCTTGAAATTTTCTTTTAAATGCAGCTTTCGTTTTGTTGGCGCTCTCCGATTCTTCTGGTGTCACATCTTTGGCTTTCTCTCCATTTTCAAAGACACTCCAGTGATTTTTTTGTCTTTGTGTCATTTTTGCGAGGGTTAGCTTGCAGACGTAATGATGCATCGAACGAAGAAAAAAAAGCTTTGTACTCTGTGATGTTTGTGTTATGTAAGTTTCCAGGTGGAGGCTGACCATTGGTGGAAGATGGAATGAGGCCGGCTACAAATTGGGACCTGACTGGGCCGGCAGCCTCTGCTACTTCCTGTTTGTAGCGAGCCTTGCGTTTGGCCCTGTGTTGTGTGTGACTGAGTTTCTGAGAAGTGAAGAGCTAGGCTGCAGTGTAAAGAGTTTAGAAAGACCTCTATCTGGACGTGGTAGCTGTAGGGGTGGGAAGCCGCTTCTTTTAGACCCTTTTTCTCGTGTTTTGTTAGGGAGATGGGTAAGAGGCTTGTGTTTTCTTTTAGGGTTTTCTCACTGTAGGTAAGTTAGTTCTGTTTCATTTCTAGTGTGTTTTGTTTGTTGTTTTGTCCATGCCCACCCTGACGCTCACTACCTGTCGAATTAATAAAACAAACAGTGGCCGTGTGTTTTACTTCTTTGCTTTCTTTTTCTTGTTTTCCTTGTGTTGCACTCCGGCTCCCCCTAGGCCGGTGTGCAACAGGGATATTTTCTTGACACACTTTAGAACCAGCAGGGTTGTCAAAACACGACAACCTACCTCAGTATCGTTGTTGACCATGTCCATCCATTTATCACCAGTGCCCCTATCTTCTAATCCCTGTTTCCAGCAGGAGATTTGTTATTGTGTTATTGTGTCTTTGTCGCATAGCTCAAATCACCTCAGACTTATGTGACGGCTGTGTGCAGGCAGGAGTGGTAGTAGGAGGACCCAATGTGCAGACACTCGGAGGCGGAACGTGAACTCAAAACAGCTTTAATGCTGAACTCAAAAGGGCAACAAAACTAGGAATACAAAATACACTTACGCAGACAGAACACACAGCACGATGAGGGTAGATGGCGACACGGACACAGAGAAACACAGGGCTTAAATACACAGAGGGAGCAATCAGGGAATGAGTAACAGGAGGGAAACACAGCTGGTTGCAAATCAGGCCTAACGAAACAGGGGAAGCAAAACCAGATACATTAACATCTGACCTGGACCTTCACAATAAAACAGGAAACAACACAGACTGAAAATAATAACACAGAGCTGGAATTTAGCACAAGTTCCCTTTGAAACGTTAATATATAAGATTCCTATTTTTAAAAAAGTCACCAGAAGGAGGCAGCATTTACCAGACAGTTTAGTGCACATAAACTCTGCATAACAGTTTAGAGGCACGTTTAAAGGAAATTTGGTTCTTTTGTTTTGTGCTTGTAGAAACGAGGATGATAGGTACTATTTTAAGTTTAATAGATAGTAGGTACTTCTTCAAGTGTGTTTAAGCTATATTCTACAGCATTGTACACACTAGTACCTCCAGATGGTTTCAGAAGATTTTAAAAAGAAGCTCAGTGCCGCTTTGGTCCAGTCATGAAATAATTACACAGAGAAGCACAATCTTCTGTTTTCATAATATACTCAAGGTCACATTGATTCAGATGAGAAATACAACACTTTTTCACCAGTTTAACTTGCCTTGAGATTAAAAAAAGTGTACTAGGCATTTCAGAGATTAAAAAATTACTTGTAATTTGAATACTCCCATTAAATCATTAATTCATTTAATTAAATTTAATTAAATCATTAAATCAGCGCCTTTTCTCTTGTGTGTTTTCACCAATACAGGGTTTCTAAGCACAGGAGACCAGGCAGCCAAGGGCAACTATGGACTGCTGGATCAAATTCAGGCTCTCAGGTGGATCAAAGAAAACATCCAGGCCTTCAAAGGAGACCCAAAGCGAGTGACCATTTTTGGCTCTGGTGCAGGAGCATCGTGTGTCAGCCTGCTAACCCTCTCACATTACTCAGAAGGTACATGTTCTTTTTCACGGATCAACCACAGTAATATATGGTCAAAAGCAGGCGTCTTGTCATCAGTTTATAATTCCTGCTGTTATTTTGATGCAGAGTGGATTTCACATCAAAAACAAACCCACAGTGAATCATGAAG